TTCTTCTCTTCTACAGCCGCAAGTTCCTCACGAAGTTCTTCAAGCAACTCGTTTTGCTTCTGAGCCACATTCTCCAATCTCAGATTCTGATCCTTGACCCTCAACCACTTGTTGAGCAGCACATGATACTCCTCATCATCTGTACTGCGATCTGAATCAGTGGATTCACTAGATCCCTTCTTGCGTGCACCAAATGCAAACATGTTCTTCAACACCTTGTCATCTTCTTCAGACTCTGAATCATCAGACGACTGAGCTCCTTTTCCCTTCTTTGAGTTTGGACATTCGTGCCTTGTGTGTCCAACACCTCTACACTCAGAACACTTATGTTCCTTTCGTTGTGCAATAGGACAGTCAGCCCTCAAATGACCAACTCCTTCACACTCGTAGCACTTGATAAAGTCTCTTCGTCTACCATTGCCACGATCACCTCCTTGACGATCATACTGATTTTTGCCACCAGAATGAATCTTCTTACCAAAATTCCTAGCCAACATACCCACAGTATCTTCAAGCTTCTGGAATCTATCACCATCTTTGTCAGCTGCAAGCGCTATACTCCCTGGCGCACTGCTTGACGTAGAGACTGAACTACTGTTTGTCTCCATCTCTTGTGCCTTCAGCATACCCACAAGTTTATCAAACTTGAGCTCAACCGTGTTTGTAGTCATCTGCAAGACCGCCTTGTGAGCTTCAAACTTCTTTGGAAGACAGCGTAGTAACTTCTTTACCAGCTTCTTCTCCTTGTACTTCTTCCCAAGTACAAATGCTTCATGCGTCATAGCACCAAGTTTGGCACTAAATCTCGCCACAGAATCCATATCAGACCATCTGAGATTCTCAAATTGCGACCCAAGATGATCTAGGCGTGTCCTCTTGACACTCTCATCACCCTCAAACGAATTCAGCAGGATCTCCCACGCCTCTTTAGCTGAAGTACTCCCCTGAATCAACTGGAACTGCTCTGCTTCAACGGCTCCAAAAATCACTGACAACGCCTTTGCATTATATTTTGATGCATTGCGCTCTGCCTCTGACCAATCTTCTTTTGGCTTGGGCTTCTTCTCATCTCCTATGACTATGGTAGGCTCCTCCCAACCACTCTCCACAGCTGTCCACGCATCTTCATTGATACCTCGAATCATCTGCTTCATGCGAGTCTTCCAATGACCATACTGGTCCGCGTTCAACACGATTTCCTTCTGCACCGAAATAATGGTGTCCATCTTCACCTTCAGGATTACACCAATAACTTAGGTGCCCCGCTCTGATACCACTTGTAAGTGCAAAGATGACACCACAATAAGATAGTACAGAAGGTAAACCAAGAGACAAAACACTAATAGCTTTATTCAAATCTTCTTTAAACAATCTTTACAAGACCTTGTTTATTCAGATTTACACGTCTAGTGTTAACACCCTAACACACGTCAATGAAAGATTCCTAAGCTACTCACTTATGTCTCTCTGCCGTCAAGTACTTCAGCCTCTGCTTCAGCACGACCCAAGAACACCTTAAGAGCTTCTCTCTCTCTCTATAAGATTAGCCTCCGTGTCTCTGTCTCTCTACAGAAGACCCCCTTGTTGTCTTATACTTATTCTCCACGTTCCTGAAACCCTAGTCTCCAAGGAACACAATATGGACATCTTCCATAACATTAAGTGCAACTTTCCTTTTCTTGAAATGCACTTATTCCTCTTTCTTTAAGTCATAAACTTGCTCCTCAAGTTTATTCCTCTTGCCTTTTCTCCAAGATACACCATTGCTCTCCAAGTCTACACGACTCCAGCTTAGCATCTTGACTCCACATGGTCTTCACCACTCAACACGACGTCTGCCTCAGCAACTACGTCAGCGACTACTTCAGGGCGGACATCTTACATCTTCATCATCTTAACTCATTGGCATCTCTTATAGGTAGATGTTTTAAAGAACATTGGCAAGTAGGTATGGCATTTGGATATCCATTGACGCGCTCTTAGGATGCTCTCTGAATAGTATAGGATGATCTTTGGAGAAACGAAGAAAAGATTTAAATTTCTGAAGGCCATAAATCGAATAGTAAGACAAGAAAGATGAAGAAACTCTTGATACTCCTAGATGAGTGAATCAGATATGACCAGGGGCGGATCCACTTTTATAGTGGGTGTGGTATGTGTCACATACTAAATTATAGAAAAATTTTGTATACAATGTACAAATAGAAACTGGCAACTCTAGTGGTTTGAAAGGTACT